TTATTATCATATTATCAAGTTTTAAAATTAATATTCATACTGATAATACAATTCCCAAAGGTATTAAATTTATATAGGGTTTTTCTCATCACTGGATCTTTTGCCACAGCATCTTTGTTTGTGGGTTCTTTGTTTGGTTCAGCCCTTAATTATCTTGATATCACTTTTCAAGTAGTTTGGTTTTAATGGGTACTAAATTCCCTGATATTCTTCATGTTTGAAAATGAGTGCTGGCTGCCTTTATACTTACAGAACCTCTTAGCTGTGCATAAGATTCTTGGGTCAACCTTTCTTTTTCTCAAGACTGTGCAAATATTGATTGACTGTGTTTTGCCGTTGAATGGTGCCATGGAGCTGTCTAAAGGCAGTGTTATTTCCTCCTTTGTTGCTAATTTGCGTTTTCTGCCTGTATGACTGAACAATTATTTCTTTATTCTTAAGTTCAAATAGCTTAATTAATTAAAGTTCCTAAGCAACAAGAATTCTGCATCAAATTACGTTGGAGCACAGATTGTTCCTTCAAAGTATAGATTCAATTTTTCCTCAAGTAAAATTTCCTTATATTATGTCAGAAATATATCTTCTGCCTCATTTGTTAGGTTCTCAATTTTTTAAGATTTCATTTATTTGTTTATTTATTTATAGAGAGAGAGCTTGAGCAGGGGGAAAGGTAGAGAGAAAGGGAGAGAGAGAATCTCAAGCAGACTCCACGCTGAGCTCAGAGCCCAACTCAGAGCCTGATTCCACCATCTTGAGATCATGACCTGAGCTAAAATCAAGAGTCGGATGTTTAACCAACTGAACCATCAGATACTGCATTCTTGGGTTCTCTATTTTGAACCTACTAATTATCCTTATGTTGTATCATCCTTTTTTTCCATTACTATTATCTCATTTCCAAATAACTTCATCTCTTTATATTTTCCATAGTATTTCTTTTATCTCAAGATTTTCTTCTGTCATTAATTTTTTTTATTATTATTTAAATTCAATTAGCCAACACCTAGTACACGTCATTAATTTTATTTTCTACCAGTATCTACTCTGTTTCTTATAGTTTGTACTTTATTTTTAGTTTCATGATCATGTGATTTGGTCCTCAATTTGGTCCTTTAAGTCTGTGTTCTCCTAAGAGATTGTGAGAAAATTCTTTCTATTTCTTAATTTTATTTTCTCCTAAGTATTGTTTTTTTTCATATTCTGTCTCACTCTCTTCCCCATCTCTTTCCTTCTCGCTCTCTCTGTCCCTCCCTCCTCACTGCTTCTTTTCTTTTTATTCACGTTCATATTTGCATAATTCTTCTCTAAGTGTCCTGTTTGCTCTAATACAGTGTAGGTGAAATCTTGACACTTTCCCCTTAAGATTAGTTAGATTTTCCCTCTGAACTACAGCTTGAAGCCAATGTTTTTCATTCCATCTACTCTTAAGTACCCTAAGAAATGTTGGTGTGGGGAGAGGAGAGGAGCTGAAGAGATGGAAATGTCTTTTAGAATATTCGGCTCTGCTTTTTCTTTTAAGGTTCTGCTAAATTTCTCAGCTGATAATCTACCTCACCTAATTGGATATGTATCTCATTTCCATGGGGGGATGGGTAACTGTCATGCTTTAGGTCACTTCCCCACTCTAGTCCCAGAAAGTCTACTTCTTTTGAGGCGCAGACCCATTCTCACCCATTTCTCCACAGCAGTTGTTTCCACTGTTCTGGTCAGAACAAGAAAAAAAGATTGGCTTTTTAATTCCACTAGTTTCTTTCCAGATTCTGAAATACAAATGAGAAGTCTTATGATTTTGTGGACTTGACAGTAGGGCTTCTGAGAACTGAAGGTGAGGATCAGGAGGTGAGCCATGCTGCCTCTCTATTCCAATCTATAATCCTCATTTTTTTCTTGGAACCAGATTTTGGAAATTTACTGAATTATGTTATGCCAATGAAGTTGTGGATAATGACTGTTGGGCGGCCTGGTTTTTCAGTTTTCCCATATTGTAGGTATTATGGGAAGACAATTTAGTGCAACCTTAATGTAGCTGACTAACACTCCCTGTCCGAAGTCCTGCACTCCTATCATCTCCTAGACACTCACTGGTGAGTGAAACAACTCCAGGACTTTCATTCTGACACTGGTCAAACTCTGAGTTCATGACAGGGTATTAAAACAGTCCACTGTGGCATGAAAAAGAACCAGGATGCCCTTGAAGTATTCCCCAAACATATCTTGTTGTCTAAGGGAGGGAGATATTACTTTAACCCTTTATATGTGTCACAAAGACTTAACCTCTTTCAGTGTCTGGGCCCCTCAGAAATCAATATTCTAATTAGAAAACAGTAGCTAATCCAACCAAATGCTAATAAATGAGAGTTGTGATTTATCCAGGAACAGGGAAACAACTCAGCCTTAACAATTTAAAGGTCTGTAGAGAAGAGAGCTTTTTTTTTTTTTCTTTCTCTTCCCCTTAGCAGATTGGGTTCAGCCAGATGCTATAAATAGTCTTCTAGTTAATGGCTATCTGTTTGAAAGTCAGTCATTAGAATCATAATTTAGGAACTTTTACCTCTGAGATTCATAGGCTCTATTTTACTTTTCAGTGATAAATATAAGGAGAGGGTGATATGAGTTAAACCTGAATCTACCTATCCACAAAGACCAAACTACATCATAGCCTACTAGAGCACTCTTCACACTTCATTATGGTAGATACAGATTTTTAAATAATCAATTCAGCTGCAAGGAGATGTGTTGATCAGTAATAGAGCCAAAATGTTTGACTAAACCCTGTTGCATTCCAGTCATTTTCATATAGTTATAGGATAAAGTCGAACTTTACATCAAAGGTGTGAGTTTAAATTAGCTGAACAAGGTCCTTCAGAAATCTCAAAGAATTACTTTTTCTACTTTAAACAAATCAACTGAGTAGTTACCTTTACTTTAACTTGAAGGGACAGAATCAAGGGGGAGGAGTAGTACGTCTAAATCAAATTGAATGGTGATCTAGAGAACACTTTCCAGAAGCACCCTCTTTGGGAAATGCCACTCAGTGCTAGAGTAAATCTCATATTTCAGTAGAGGGTTTGTCATTCACAGTAGAAGTACATTTTAAGTGTCTCCTTTTGGCATTTTATATTTCACCCAATGTGGTCTATTTACATAACACCCATGTAGAGCTCCTAGCAGGTCCCTGAACCCGCCATATTGTTTTATGATACCAAGCATTTATTCAAACCGTTTCCACTGTGTAGATGGCCCTCAACCACTCAAGACCTAACTTTCATGTAATTTCTCCTTTCAGCCCACTACCACCACAACCCTCCAACCTAATGAAACTGATTACCACCTCCTTTGTGCTTCCACCTTACCTGTACATCTTTCTGTCTTAACATTAGTAAACTTCCACTTGATTGTTTTCTTGTTCATCTCTCCCCAGGGGGAAGGTCTTATTCCTATTCAGATAAACAATAACTACATGCTTGTTGAATATACAAGTGGTAATTCAACCACTATTGAGCATCTTCTCTTTGCTCATACTTGCTAGAAGTAAAAAAGACATAGTTTTTTTGTTTTTATTAAATCTCTACTTTCAATGAATTCATGACCCAGTGGGGTAGAATAGACTCCTATACAACTAAACTCAGCAAGCCTAAGAAAGGGGTCTGGGCAAGTGCTGAGGCTGAGCTGTTAATTGGCAAGGCAGTGAACACATAAAGTCCCCATGTTTTAATATATCTTCTATGGTTTTCATAATCCAAACACACCTGCTTCAATCATATGTTTCACATTGCTTGCTAATGTTTTCTTGGCATAGTCTAAACCTATGCTTCTCAAATTAACATTCACAGAAATCACCCCAGGTTGTTGTTAAAATGCAGACTCTGATTTAGTAGGTCTGTGGCAGAGACTGGGATTCTGCATTCCTAACAAGCTCCCAGGAGATGCCACTGGTGCTGGTCCACAGACCACAATCTGAGGATCAAGGTTCTAAATGCTTGTCATGTCAACACATAAACATTGTTGAAGAGGCACCAGTTTTTGGAAAAGCTCCCACTGCTTCTTACCTAGATAGTCTTCTAAGTATAATTAAACATGAGGAAAGTTACACCAAGAGAGGTAAGATACAATAGTGCACCCCCAAAAAGTGATGCCTTGAAATGGTTACTTCTTAGCTTTTTTAATGTCTAAACACAAAAGGTCTTTGTTCCTGCACTTAAGGTCTGTTGCTACCAGAAGACTGTAGTCTAAATGTGTAGCAAGATTTCCCCAAATCTTCAAAATTGCCATTTTTAAATCTCCCCCATACTTACACTATAATACCCAAGCCCTTCCTGTAAATGCAGATATCTTTTAACAAAACTACAAAACCTTAATCCCCTTAAACAGTCATAAAGGAAATACTTTGTAATTGTGACTTGCTTAAAATAAATGTTGTAAGTTATCCATGGAAATCTAGTTTCTTATTAATTCTTAATGGTTCCTATGATATCTATTTACTTTGTCAGAGCCTACAATTAATCCTCAAAGTCAAAACTCACTAGACCATGAGACTTTGGACTCCCCACTCTACCTATACATTTTCATCATGTGTCAGTTTTAAATTCTCCTTCCACAAAGGCAAGATCCCTATTTGATCCCTACTTGAACTGTCCTCTTTTGCAGTTGTTTTTTCTCTCTTCCTCATGACTCCAACCATACCAAGTGTCCTGTGCCTATCTTTTCCTAAGCATATAAAGAAGACATTACAACTCTTCATAGCTGCTATTCAACATCACCTTAATTACAATAATATGTTATTTGAGAAGCAGTCTTGGTTATTTGGTTTTCTCTTGCACAGTTAGTTATTGTATCACTTTTCCCTGACAACACAACAGTGAACAGAACAGTAGTAGGATTGTTTTTATCAGACAGGACATTTGGAAGGCACTGGATGCCTTAGCTTGCTTAATTTCAGAGTCTGGAGAGAATTCTTCTAAATGTTCTTTCTTCCTTCTTACCATCATGGTCTCATTTAGGTTAATGCCAAAGATGATGAAGGTGTCCTTGTTGGATCCTGGGACAATGTCTATGCCTATGGTGTCCCCCCATCAGCCTGGACAGGAAGTGTTGACATTCTGTTGGAATACCAGAGTACAAAGAATCCGGTCCGGTATGGTCAGTGCTGGGTTTTTGCTGGTGTTTTTAATACATGTAAGTAAAAAATTGAATAACATTTTTTAATGTAAAGAGAATTTTACTTCAAGACATTTTATCTATAAACTGGCGAAGAGACCCAGCAACCCTGTTAGCTCTCTAGAATTTATAGGTGGCTATTCTGGGATATAGTCAATGCATAATTAAATTGTACCGGGCCAAATATGCTCATAGTTTCTCTTTGACTGCAGAATCTTTGTAGAAAGAATGATGGACTATTTCCTACATAATCCATCATTCAACACCCAGAGAAATGGGGGTCCTGGGTCCAAGAAATGATGTGAGGGAAAGGATATGCCATTTTCTTTTCAGTAACCCCGCATATTTTAAAAAGATTAACAAAATTTAAAATAATAAATAATAATAGGTATACACTGATTATTAAAGTGCTATAAATACGTTATATGTTATAAATATGTTTAACAGCTTGTTTACCACATTGTTTACCACTGAGAAATTTTGTAAATATATGCACTTAATTTTTACTGTAGCTGTGGGAGAGACTGTGACAGGTGGTTTCAACTCCATTTTTACATGGGAATCTCAATGCCCATGAGCAATTACATATCAGAACTTAATGAACAATCTTTACTCCCCACTTTCCCTTCTCGTTTTTAATCTACCCAACATCTAATCTATAGAGAAAAATATATGGGAACAGAATTAGTCTCTTCAGCGTCATGCGTCATTTTTTGAAATGCCATTTGCCTGTCTAGGACCAGACAATATTATTGTTAATTCAGTGAATATTTTTAAAAATACATTTATTTCAGTATGTCTTCATCATTGGTAATGATTTTCATTCACTTGCCATTTCTACAGCCTTGGAGAAAATATTAAGCTCAAGTTGAAGTGTCCTTTTGGCTTGCTCCTTAATAAAGAATGTTTTACCTAGTTAGCATTTTTCTTCTAATCAGAAAAATCAAGGAAGGGCTGGAGGTTGGAAGCCAGAATGAGGCCATTTAGTTTTAAATCATCCTGAAGGCTCACAGTTTTAGCTCAAAGTTGTGACAGTCCAAGATTAGTCAGTGATCCAAGTGGGAAGAAATTATGCCTCTTGTGCTTTTGTTTTTCTAAACTGAATAAGATTGTTTTCTTAGCCAGTTGAATGTACTCAAGGGATAAGGGAATATATTTCCTGAGAGCAATAAAGTCCAGTGTTATCAGTTTCCTAGGTGTGTTGGCCTCTGAGGTTCCAGATAGAAGCTGAAATTCATGATGGGCTAACGATTAGAGGTAGCCACTGCCCCCTCTCTGTTCACAATCCCAGACTATGTAGAGGGTGCCTGATGGGAGCAGTCACTCTTAGGAAATCCTTCCAGAAAAACAGAAAAGACCCTCTGCCTTTCCTCCAGCTGTCTACAATTTCACTATCCCACCATAATTCCCTCGGGCTTAGAACCAGATAAAATAGTGAACACCTTCCAAACACTTATGCCTTTTATATGAAAAGGTCATCAGATTTATTCCTGAAAACAGGCTTTGGTGGTAAGCTACAAAAAAACAGAAGAACATGTGGGGAAGTTAGAGTAAGAATGAATCCCAAGAGGGAAGTGGGAAGGAAGAAGGTACAGGTGCCCCAGTGTCAGGCTTCATCTGTCTTAAAATTATGAGGTCAGGCAAAGTCTGAAACAATTTTCATTCTGTGAATTAGTGGTAAGCCAGAAGTAGAGCTAGAGTGCCAATCATCTTACTGGTAAAACTGTGGCTTGAATAGGGTCTGTGAATCAATACAGGAAGATGGAAGTAGGAAGCAGGTGGTGGCTGCCATCATTTTTGTTTGGGGTATTAAGGTAAAGTCAGATAATGAGGACACTTGAATGCTACCAGACTCAAGTTTGGACTTCCAAGGTTGTTCTATTGAAGGAGGTGGATAGCCTTTAGTTAAAAATGCTAAACTATTCTGAAGAAAAAAAGGCAAGCCAAGTCATTAATCTTAAAATTGTCAGCTGAATTATTTTCAATGAGCCCTGATGTCTGGCATCCTGGGAGCCAGGGAGGGCATTTGGATTGAGTTTAATCAATAGGTACATATGGCAAGAGATGCATCCAGGTAATTTATTATCTAGCAATTAAAATGAATCTGTGGTGTCACCCTCCACCAAGTGTCACAAGAGCAAATTCCAGCCAGGAGAGCAAACCCCACTGAGGACCTCTATTATAACCTCCTATTAGCTGAGGGTTGCTTTTTTTTTTTTTTCAGTTAAATTTTTTATTAGTTTCAGAGGTAGAATTTATTGATTCATCATTGCATATAACCCCCAGTGCTCATTACATCAAGTGCCCTCCTTAAAGCCCATCACCCAGTTACCTTATCCCCTGACCCACCACCCCTCCAGCAACCCTCAGTTCGTTTCCTAGAGTTCAGTGTCTCTTATGGTTTGTCTCCCTCTCTGATTTCATCTTATTTTATTTCTCCTTCCCTTCCCCATGTCCATCTGTTTTTTTTTTTTTTTTTTCTTAAATTCTACATATGGGTAAAATCATGTGGTATTTGTCTTTCTCTGGGGGCACCTGTGTGGCTCAGTCAGTTAAGCCTCTGACTTTGACTCAGTTCTTGATCTCAGGGTCCTGGGATCAAGCCCTGAATTGGGCTCCCCACTCAGCATGGAGTCTGCTTATCCCCTTTCTCCGTCTGCCACTCTCCCTGTTTGTGCTCCTTCTCTCTCTCAAATAAATAAATAAAATCTAGCTGAGTTTTTTTTTTTAAATTTATTTTCAGGAACACAGTCCTATTAGATGGACTAAAATAATACTATTTAAGTGATAGCATGATTAGCAACTGAACAATTAGAACCCCATTATTGGGATTTTAGTCCTTTTATTCCATTAATTCTGAATGAACACATAGCAAGGTTTCTGTCCACAGTCCCAAAGCTTGACAGTAGTCTCCCTTCTTCAGTATGGAACATTTGAGGATAAAACATGTGCAAAGGGCTTTTCTTTTGGACAAAGAAGGAAGTCCTTTATGAGAAGGAATTGTTCGCTATGTATATATTAAATTTTGGTGATGGGTTTAACTGTGGCCTGTCCTTTCCTGCAGTTTTGCGATGCCTTGGGATACCAGCAAGAGTTGTTACCAATTACTTCTCAGCCCATGATAATGATGCCAATTTGCAAATGGACATCTTCCTGGAAGAAGATGGGAACGTGAACTCCAAACTCACCAAGGATTCGGTGTGGTGAGTTTGATTTACAAGGGCCCTTGCTGATATCAAATTAGAGTGACATTACACATTAACCACAAGGCAGACTGGGTCTAATGTTTCTTTCCCTTCTATGTTAAGGGCTGTTCAATACGCCAGGCAAAAATGGCTGATTGGTAGAGATTTTTTTTAGTGAATGAAAGAATTGTTCCTGAACAGGCAGTTTGCGTTTCTAGTAATAAAGATCAATCATTGCATTACGACAGCAACCCCTGGAAAGGGTCATGGTTTTAGCTATGCCTTCGGGTGAGAGTCCATACTCGCTTGTCTCTACTTTAGTATGAGAATACTATGGTGAGGGGCAGAAATAGTGGAGTCGAGTATTGTCTATGTCAGGACTCCAGGAATAATATAGCTAACACTTATTAAGTACTTACTATGTACCAGCGTCTGTGTGTACATGATTTCATCTTATTCTTTTAACAGCTGTATCCTATGGGTGCTTATTAATATCACCATTTACAGAAGAGGAAACTGAGACCCAGAGAGGTTAAAGCAATTTGCTCAAGGTCACACATCTCATAAGCTGAAAATAAAACCCAAGTGAATCTGACCCTTAACCATGATTTTTTTTTTTGCCTTTGCAGTATGAGACTGCTCTTTAATTTTTTAAAAAATTTACTTTTTTATTTTAGAGGGAGAGGGAGAAAAAGAGTGTGCAAGTAGAGGGTGGGGAAAGAGGGAGAGAGAGAATCGCAAACAGACTCCCATGCATGAGCATGGGCTCACCTCACAACCCTGAGATCATGACCTGAGCCAAAATCAAAAGTCAAATGCTCAACCAAGTGAGTCACCCAGGTGTCCTTGGGAATGCTCTTTGAATGTAAAGATGTGGTTCTTCGAGACTCGTCACCTCATCTTTCAAACAGAGATAGGAATAAGAGTAAAGTTACAATTGTCATTAATACCAACCACATCTTTCTTTCACTGCTCTGAGTAGCTGCACCAGAGCTGGCTACGGGGGGTTTAAGATCCCAGAGAAATTTCCTATGTTAATGGGACTTACTCAGTCCAAAACAATATTCTAAAAACAGGAGAAAAACCCAAACGTAAAGGCTATTTATAAAAGTCTAAATGGAGGAAATTTCCAGGCATTGAACTAGTTGGAATGTCCAAGCCAAAAGTGTGTCTACTACGGTTGTTCTGTTTAAGTAATAAAGCGAAAACACTGTCAGTTGTAAAAGCATCCAAACGGGGATGGGAGGAAGTTACAAGCTCATTTGAAGAGACATTAAAAGTTAGAAGTGCCTTTACTCCCCCGTGTTACAGGAATGAATCGCAGTGGTAGGAGCAGTATTAACTTGCCAGTACTGGGAAGCCCTCATTGGAGGATGTGGAAAGAAGGAAATCAGGGAACTAGTAGCAGTGTGGTACTACGAATAAAAAATAGTGCAGTTCATTTGAAGGGAATGAGCTGAGGAATGGTAAGCCAGAGAGTACAGGCAAGACAAAAACCTCACCTCTGTAAATTGAACAGAAATTTAAAGCATCATTTAAGCCCTTGGAATTACAGTATAACATCCCTACATGTGTATGGAATTTAAAAAAGAAAAAAAGACCAAAATAGCTGCCGTAAAAGCCTGTTGTGACAGTAGAAAATGGCAAAGTGAGAATTATTTGGTATTCTGTACTTTGTGCCTTTACTTACACACACGCACACACACACGCTTAATGCCTTAGTAGCCAACCGAAGTTCAAAATTAGTCCTCCCTATTCCTTGATCTAAATGCTTCCACCATGAATCCCCATGGACCCCCTAACAAATAACCCCACAAGGCCCTTAACAAAATTGATAACAAATTGTGAAGCTGTTAGATCTTGCTCTTGGTAACCCTTTCCTCTTTTGGCTTCCTACTCTGAATTCCTTTCCCTGTCTCTGTCAAGCCTTTGCTCCCTCATTGCCTTCCACAAATGTCCCATCACCCTGGGACTATGTTCCCTGCTCTGGGAGCCTCACCCATCCTCCACCACCAGACCACTGCCCTAGGCTCCTCTTCCCTGCCCTTGCATGACTCATGGTGGGTTTTCAACGTACGGTGACTGACATCTCACTAACTGGCTGATGTGGACCCAACTTGGGACACGTCTGACCATGGAGCACAAAAATTGAAGGGCTCAGTCAGGTCTGAGTTCAAAGCCTGGCTCTGTCAATAACCAGCTGTGTGACCTTGGGCAAGGAACAACCTCTCTGTGCCTCTTTCCTCCTATAAAGTGGAGATGACAGAATTTCCTATTTCACTCAGCCCACAGCAGAGCATAACAGGTGCCTAATGAATGTTAGCTGTCATTATTGCCTTCATTATTAGTCACACAGCTGGAATTTCTTGGAGGCAATATGTTGCCATCAACCTAAGCACATTGAAGCAGTCAGAAAAGAAGGGGGGGTGTCCCATGTCCTAAGATGACTGTGCTATTTCTGTACCTTTGGGGTATTTTTAAAACAAAATCAGAAATGTGTGTCTCCCCCCACACACTCCAGTGCAAACACTAGTGGACCCTACAAACTATAGATGTTCCATAAAACCAAAAGAATCTCTAGGACCCTCTGGCTCTGGCTTTGACAGTTACTTGCTGTGTGACCTTGAGAAAATGATTTCACTTCTCTGAGCTTCGGTTTCTTCTTCAGTTGAATAAGGGTAACCATTTCCTGATGGGGTAGCTGTGACAATTAAATGAGCTAATACAGGTAAAGTATTTACCTGCTAGGCCCAGAGGGTGTGCTCCCCCATGCCTACTAATGAGATTAGTAATAGCCTTGGGTAAGAAGCTGGAGCTGCTTGAACTATAGATTGGTGAGCAAGGGAGGGGGAGGGGCTGAAGGCTGACAGAGGCTGAGGTGAGGGCAGGGAGGATTTGGTGGGCATCAGCTGATCACTGAGGAGACAGCACAGCATGGCTTAGAAATGGCCTAACAGATTTCCTAGCAGGGGTCTCAGGCGCAATTGGCTCCCCCAAGACCCCAGACTCACTTCCCTCCACAGGCTCCAGTCAGACAAACTGGCCCCAACTCCTTCCTGGTTTGTGCATGGCTCCTGCGCTCCCTTCCCTGCCCCCTCCTTTCTAAAGGCAACCATGAGAATGACTTCTTAGTTTCTCTGTCTTGTGCTTCCAGCATCTCTTTCACATGGAGGTAACCTGATGGATGGTACACAGTTTGTGGTGAGTTAATTTGTCCAACTGGGTCTCCGTGACTGAAAGTCGTCCTCTTTCCCATGACTCAGCCATGTCCAGTGTGGCCAGGGCAGAAGTAAACCGGTACAAAGGGCTCAGAGAGCCAGTGCAAGAATGCTTTCAAGGGCATATTATGCGCGGCACTCCCCAAGGCCAGGGGGTGGGGGGCATAAAGCATGGATTTCAGCTCGTGCTCTGACTTCTCCCTCTTGCACCGCAGACCATGGAGGGCTGACTGCTTATGTGCCTGCCTCCCAGTTTGGCACCTCAGGTCCCTCCAAGGTGAATTTCGGGAGCAGCAATTTTGCAGAGTGGACACACTGTTGATGCCCACCAAGGGAAGAGTCCACTTCTTAGCGATTCAGGAGAGGGAGGGGCCAAGGAACCTTAGAAGGGCACAGCTGGGCAGAGTAATTGGACCTCACCGTAGCAAATGAAATTCTGAGTGGACCAATGCAAGGTAACATATCCTGGAAGGAGCAATTTAAGCCGCCTGTCCCCCGTGTGCTGATGGGTTTTGAATTATGTGTAACCTCTGGAGAAAGGCAACTATGAATCACTGCGGACAGTTTAATGAAGATGCTTGCACAATGTTTAGCTGCAGCGCGAACAGTGAATAGGGAGATGACGGTTCATTGAGGAGGGAGAACACGGCTCACTCCGTGGGCAGGGGTAAAGTGTCGGTTTGGCCTCACCTTGCAAGAACTCAGTTTGATCACCTCATTATATGACTATCACAGTGGAAATGGAAACAATTTTAAAAGAAAGGGATGGTGGCACTTATTAGTGTCATGAAGGTATTTCAGTGAAAGGCTCTTCTCCTTCTAAATGAAAGCATTATCCTGTGTCCTTTTTGCCGGAGAGGATGTAGTCAGATTTGATGATTCTGGGTGAAAGAACTATGCCCACCTCTTGGCTAGCCCCCACCAGACAGCAGACCCCATGGGGGAGAGCAATGTCTGATCTAATTTGTTTTCGTTTGTTTTGTCAGCATGTAACAAGGTGCAGGGCGTAGAGCAAGAACTTGATAAATGGAATTGGTTGGAAAAATTTCTGATGCTCATTTAACTGAATAAATGTCATTTAATTCATTCAACAAACACTATGGTGCACTATTATGTCCAAATACCAGATTCTAAGGATTCAGAGAGAAATTAGAGTCACTACCCTTCAGGAGATTGATCCAATGTTTGTGGGTGAGACAACCACATATAGAACTCTAAAAAATATAAGGTAGATTGTAACATGAGGCGGGAGGCACAGAGGTAAGGGGAAGGGGCTTACATCCTAAGCCCAGAGGAGCAAAGGGAAAGGCTGTTCATGTGGGAAGTGGCCATGGACTCAAAGCCATTATCCCCTCTGCAATCTTCTGGTTGTGCTATTCACAGACGGAATGCCCAGGAAATGACCTTAGCTCACAAATGAAACTCAGGGGTTTGTCTACAGAAGTCAAAAGCACTGAGATGAGACAACCAGAGACCAATCTGCTTCCAGGACCCAGCAGGAAGGAATGAAAGCTCATGCAGAGTTAGTCTATAGTCTTATGACCACAGTTGTTGAATATCAAAACTCGTTCTAACTCACCTTCCAGCCCCTTGCCACTCCTTCCTTTAAAACACCAAGAACAGCTGGCTCTTTGCCCACCATCCTGAAGGAGCTAATGCCCCCAGGCTGTGCATTCAATGAGCAGATGGAGTTAATACTGTTTAGGGGCAGGGATGTACCCTTCTATCCTTCCTTCTGTGTTCTCCACCTATCACCCCCTCTCCTACTTCTCTACCCTCTAGGCACTGAATCCTTTTTTT